GGCCGCGACCGCGGCAGGGAGCTCCGCAGCAGCTGCTGTAGGGCGGGGCGACGACTGCGGCTAGGGGCTCCGCGACAGGTGCTGCAGGGCGGGACCGGGCCGCAACGGCAGCTGGTGCAGGGCAGGGACAGGGCCGCGACGGCCGCTGCTGCAGGGTGGGGCGGGGCCGCGACGGCAGCTGCTGCAGGGCGGGGCAGTCCGCGACGGCAGCTGCTGCAGGGCGGGGCAAACCGCGACGGCAGCTGCGGCAGGGCGGGGCAGTCCGCGATGGCAGCTGCTGTAGGGTGGGGCAGGGCCGAGAAGGCAGTTGCTGCAGGGCGAGGCAGGGGCGGCCGTCCAAAGGGCGGGCGCGGGGTAGGGCAGGGCGACGCGACGGGCAGGGGCGACACCGCGCGGGCCCCGCAGGGGCGTCGCGACGAGCGGGGGCGACGACCGGGTCCCGCTGGGGCGGCGCGACGCGCAGGAGCCGTGCCTCGCGGGTCCCGCAGGGGCGTCGCGAAGAGGCAGGGGCGACGCGCGGGTCCCGCAGGGGCGTCGCGACGAGGCGGGGGGGACGTGCGGGTCCCGCAGAGGCGTCGCGAAGAGGCAGGGGGCGACGCGCGGGTCCCGCAAGGGCGTCGCGAAGAGGCAGGGGGCGACGCGCGGGTCCCGCAAGGGCGTCGCGAAGAGGCGGGGGCGACGCGCGGGTCCCGGCGGGCTGCAGCCACCGGCGTGTAGCAGCCGCGGCGCGCGGGTTACGGCCTGCGCGCGAGCGTCGGCCTACGGGCGTACGGGCGGCCTACGGGCGGCGTAAGGGCGGCCGACGGGCAGCGTACGGGCGGCATACAGGCGGCGGCGGCCTAGGGGCGACGGCAGGCGACGGGCAGCCTACGGGCGGCGGCCTACGTGCAGGCAGGCCGCGGGCGGCTCGAGGGGCCGCGCGAGGCCGGTACAAACTGCGTGGGCGGCTAGCGAGCTGCGCGCGGGCGTCGATCAGGCGGCACGCTGGTGGCTAGCGGGCCACGCGCGCACGGGCAGAGGACGGCGCGCGGGCAGAACGAAGGGCAGGGCGCGCGAGGGCGCACTAGCAGAAAGAAGGCGCACGAGGGCGCACGAGCAGAGAAAGGCGCACGAGGGCGCACGTAAGGTAGGGCGCACGAGGGCGCTTCTAGCGGAATAGTGGGCTCGTAGTAGTAAGCGGTCCTAGGTGGCTAACCTAGGCTCGTGATACCATGTCAGAATGAACAAGAGTGATTGAACTAGGAAAGAGTTGGGTACAAGTAGGCAAAGTGTACCCCATAGTAACTACCCCACTACAGCCTAAACAAACTGTAGCAGATATATCATTTGACAGCAATTCCCATTTTTTTACTTCGGGGGTGCTCCACTGTTGCCGCCCAGCAGTACCGCACGTGCCTTTTTCATTTTGTAGCACAACAGGATTTGATGTCCGGCTGCGCCGCAAAATTCTTATTTTGTCGGCTGCTGCTTCGCGTCGAATCTGTCTATTTCCATCGGTTCGACGCACGTGGGGGTTGCCAACCGCTCCGTGCCGAATGTACGGTTCGGCCCGTAGCGTCGTGTTTCGGGTTGACCTCGAGTCAACGCGTCGTACGTTCGGCTGCACGTACGATGTCGCGGTAGCTGCTGTAGTTCGCTGCGATAACCTGCCGGCGTATCTCCATTTTCAATCCCTTGGTGTATGCTTGGATTTTTTCGCCTTCAATCAGGTCGGTGATGTGGTTGAAAAGTTGCTCCATCTGCTGCGTGTACAGTGCTACACTCCCGAGTTGCTTGTGTCGGTGAATCTACTGCCGCGCCATGTACACCGAATTTATGGGCTCGAATCTTTCGATGAGGTCTGCCCGAAACTGCGTCCACGTTTTCTCCCCGCGAGCTACGCCACAGTAGTATATCCACTCGAGTGCTGGTCCCCGCAACAGTGTCATTGCAAGCCGAATCCGTGCTGCATCGTGTGTCAGGGTCGAACAGCCAATGGCCTCGAAATAAATTTCGAGGGTCGCCACGAATCGTCGAACGTCCGATCCCTTCTCGCTTGGATCGAACGCTTCGGGGAGCCTCGGGCAAGCTGCTTCGAGGTTCGGCGAAGGTGGTGCTATCGTTCCGTAAAATGTCGGTGTCGCCGCTGCTGATGCGGCCGTTGCTGATGCGTTCGCTGCTGCATTTACTGCTGCGGTGGCGGCTACCGATTGGTTCGTCAGGAGGGCTTCGATTCGCCGGATCGCCGTCTGCGTCTGCTCCACGTCGGTGCGAAGGCTGGCGATGTCGTGTGTCGTCGCGTAATTGTTGCCTTGGCCCTCCATTCTTGACATTGCGCATTCGAAAACCGAAATCAAGGGGGAGTGAAAAACACGGAACCGACTTTACGTACCCGAAATCGGTATTTAACAGTTGTCGCCCCCGCGGTTTTTTGAAGACTCGGTTTTAGTGGTCGAAAAACTTCGAGTGTAAACAGGCTTCAATAACCAAGTGTGAGGATCTAGGATCGAGCTGAGAAAAGTGGGTTTGAATTGAATGATCCACCTGGGTACAACACTTCGTTATATATAGGCTCGACACAAAGCAGGTAACCCAGGTGTTACGCGAATGTTTTGAGGGTCCCGAAGCGTCCCGAACAGAACCTTCCCGAACTCGGTAGAAGGCAAATCGGTAGAAACCGAATAGCCTTGAGTTCGGTACACGTAACTTGGTTCAGTGCTTTAACTATAATAAAATATATGAATGCACCTAACCTAGGAAATCAAGCATATCTATGCATGATAAAATAAACCCAAGCTAGAATTAGCATAATAAAGTCTAGGCAAGCTAGCAAAGCCAGCATAAACCGTCGTACTCTCACAATCGTGCAACCCCCGTGATGCTGTCCTTTTTCCTCATATGCCGTACTTTCTCATGTGCATATGAGAAGTTAGTTACACATCGAGGGTAGAGGTCACACTTAAATGGTATGCTGTCATCCTCCATACTGTACAAGATACCAGCAGCCTTGCAGGGTATTTGCTGAATCAAGTTCTATATTACAGAAGATTCGTACAGAACACCTTACGCGCCTCTTTGGTCTTACGACAAATAAATTGCAAGTCGCGAACCCGTCTGCACTGTCTCGCGCAGACAAAGTTTGGGTCGCCTGCAAAATTCACACGCATCTACCCAATATGCACCGGGATAAGCCTTGACCGACCAAAGTTGCTCGCTGCGTTGGTGCCAGGATCCACGCGCAACCAATCCGCGTGTGAGCGCAGTTGGCTGTCAAGTGTGCGAGGGTCCTTACAGATTGGATTAAACGGCCAAGATCAACCGGCCATGATTCTCGATCAATATTTACTGAGATTCCCAGGCACTTCCAGTTGCCACCGCCCTCGAAAGGCAATGTCGTTGTGATTAAGTTCACTCGAGTGTTTGAGTAGGATTATAGTCGCGTAACTTATAAGTATTTTTCATGCCATACCTCCTACATTGTTCACCGCTAATAAATTTCATTACAAGATCGAGGGTAAACACTCGAGCCGAAGCGATTGGTCTCGGGCAAGTAACTTTCGACTCGAAAGCGGTTTGGCGATGATGGCGCGAAGGGGACGGGGGAAGAGGACGCTTCAAGGGAGGTGCGATGAAGACGACGCGCGATTTGGAAACGCGCTGCGCGATTACAGTAAAGGGAGTGACCACGCAAGGATGGGCGGTGGATCGTTGGTTGTTATGTGGGAACCTGTAGCACATGCTATTGTGCAATTTCTGCGAGCAAAGCACTCACGTGATACGCGTGGTTCTAAGTTCCATATTAATTCCCACTGGCGCATTATGGGTCCTTCGATTTTTGCGTACTAACCGAGTACATTGTTAAAAAAATACAAGTACAAAAAAATATTTGCAGGATGGTGCCTTTTCATGAACATGGCTACTGTTAGAGCAGATTACATCATTTATATCAGGGAGGTCTTTCCTGTTTAGTTTGTCTTAACAATCAGAGGAGAATGTGGGGATGCTGCAACTGACAGATTGGGAAGCTTCCACTACATGCCCTTGCGTCGCGGTACCTGGTAGAAGCGCTACCCGCGGTTACTGCCCTTGTCACAGCGGTTGCATTATGTTATGAGGTGTTTGCATGGTAACTGACTTTTCCTGACCTTTCCTGTGCTACACGAGATGAGAGCAATCCCTGTCTTGTCAGTCCCTGCCATCCCCATTTGGATGTCTAACTCGTGTCCTGCAATCGTGTGTCCTGTTCATGGTGGCGGGCCCTGTATGTGCATGCATGCTGCATGCACCTCACGGTTGGATGTCTTGCACTTGCACTTCCTCCCCTCCCCATCACAGTGTGTGTGCCTCTCATCTCATGGCAGCTCTACCTCACTCTCTCTTAGCACAGTGAAGAAGGGCTTCGCCTGTAACAGCCAAGTTCTTCTCATGCCTGTGCACAGCATGAGTCATCATGGCGCGGCACACCACCTGCAAGAGGACACAATAACAATAGATCCTGCTTGGGAGTTTGTGCCCACTCTACCTCCTCATGCCACAGCATGAGCCAAGAAGCGCATCATGGCGTGGCACAACATCTGCAGGACGACACTTTGCCCTACTTGGGTGTTAGTGCCCAGCCGCCTTCCAGGCTTTTTTAATGCCCACCCCACCCACCTATTCTACCACATTCACGCACGACCCAGCACAACACAGCACAGCACATCACAGCACACCTAAGCAATCAAAATCACACCAAAGCACATTCAAGCCGAGCTAACGAGAATACTTGTCAGACCAGTCGTGTGAAGCAAGCAGTAGAAAGCAAGGGGCAGTAACTCCTACCTGCGTAATCTCCCATCACACCTACCATGAAGAAATACAAAGCACTGCTGTTGCTGCCATTGCTTTCCCCGCAATTGTTGACAGGGATAGCAATGGGACATGGAGAGGGGAGGGACATCAGGGCCACGTAACAATAGGCCACAAAAAGAAGGGAGATGAGCAACGCAAGGATTGAAGGAGACGAGTAGGACATCAATCTACTAGACAACAACAAAAGATCCCGCGCCCAACCGCCGCGCCGCCCGCGCAACCGCCGCGCCGCCCGCGCAACCGCCGCGCCGCCCGCGCAAACGCCGCGCCGCCCGCGCAGCCGCCGCGCCGCCCGCGCAGCCGCCGCGCCGCCCGCGCAGCCGCCGCGCCGCCCGCGCAGCCGCCGCGCCGCCCGCGCAGCCGCCGCGCCGCCCGCGCAACCGCCGCGCCGCCCGCCCAACCGCCGCGCCGCCCGCCCAACCGCCACGCAAGCCTAGGCCAAGGAGAGTCGAGTGTGTTTGTGCCAAGGGAAAGGTAGAATGGAGTGATTCAATAATTGCAAGTGATACAGGATATAGTCGAAATGAGGCACAGCAGGTGGTACACCACTAACAAGAGGTACAATCAGTGCAGTAATATCAAGCAACAAGCAAGATATATATCAAATATAACTTAAATACACCCCCTTAGCCTGCTTGTAATAGAAACTTGTGCAGTCAACACCCCTTGAAGGGGTACACCGGACGCGGTGGGAGACGACAGAGAGGTACACGAAATGGAGGAGGTGAGAGAGACAGAGGAGAGAAGAGAAGTACGAAGGAGGAGAGATGGAGGGGGAGAAGAGGTGAGGGGTCCGCGGCGATCCCCTCTTACTAACGCCCTTTTACAAAGGGGGAGGTGAGTGAGGGATGAGGAGAGGAGGTGGGGGGGCCGCGGCGATCCCCTCTTACGAACCCCCAAGTCCCCACCCCGATTCAACCACTCCCTAAAACCTTACCCCCCTTTTCAGTCGCCCTCTGGAATCTCGCCCCCTCCCCCAACCCTTCCTTCAGACCCTTCCCAGCCCACAATTGTCCCTGCAGAAACCATCAAACCACCCCCTAAACCTTGCCCCCTCACGGGAACGAGCAGCAGCACGGGATGCACGGGAACGAACGGCACGGGTGAGGCACGAGCTAGAACTGACAGCACAGGTAGAACGGGTGGGGCACGAACGGGGACGGACTGCACGGGCGGAATGGGCGGGGCACGAACGGGAACGGACAGCACGGGTGGTACACGAGCAGGAACGGACAGCACAAGTGGTACACGAGTGGGAACGGACAGCACGGTGGGGCACGAGCAGGAACGGACAGCACTGGGCGCACGAGCGGGAATGGTCACCACGGTGGTACACGAGCGGGAACGGACAGCACGGGTGCGGCATGAACGGGAACGGACAGCACGGGTGGGGCACTAGCGGGAACGGATAGCACGAGTAGAACGGGTGGGGCACGAACGGGAACGGACAACACGGGCATGGGCACGGGGCAAGCACAAAGAAGTACGAGCGATACGGGAGGTACAAAGCAGGGGATGAGAGGAGGAGGCGGCTGATGCTACAGTTGAATCTCACCACCCACAACCCCTGAACCTCCCCCCCCACAGCAGCAGCAGTGACGGAGAGGTGGAGGTGCAGTGGCGGTAGGTGCTGCAGCTGAATCACCCACCCCCTCAACCCCCATAGCCTCCCCCCCATGAGTCGCCACCCCACCACCACCATCTCCGTTCCCACTGCCACCCCCCCCTCCCCCCCCTCCCCCCACCACTGGCACCTCCAGTCCTGCTGCCCCCTTCCCCCCCTCCTGTCGTGCAAACGCAATAGCAGGAGCAGTGGAGGGGGAGGACGACGAGGGGTTGACGGGGTGGGGCATGGACGGGGCGGGACGTGGGGTGCTAGCGCGTCGGTTGGCGAGCTGACGGGGTGGGGATGGGATGGTTTGTGGATGGGGTGCAGACCGGGTGACGACCGGGGTGCGTTGTACGGACGGGAACGGGAGCGGGAGCTGGCGCATCCGCCTGGTGCGTCGGTTGGCGAGCTGGCCTTCACGTCAGCTGGCGTGCTGGTTAACGCATCTTCTGGCGCCGCAGGTCGTCTCGCTGGCGGTTCAAGGGGCACGTGGATACAGGGCGGCTACGAGTTACTGGGCGACGGTTAGGCGACGTGGCTAGGGGGCGCCGAGACGCACGTTGAATCACGCTGCACCGCGTGCGCCCTGCCATGCGTCGCGCTGCCCCACGCACGCCCTGCCCTGCGTCAAGCAGCCCGCGCATGCCCTGCCCTGCCCCGCGTCGCGCTGCCCGCCCACGCCCTGCCCTGCCCCGCGTCGCGTCGCCCCGCGCACGCCCTGCCCTGCGTCGCGCAGCCCGCGCACGCCCTGCCCTGCCCCGTGTCGTGCCGTTCCGCGCACGCCCTGTCCTGCCACGCATCGCGCCGCCCCGTGCCCTACCCTGCACTGCGCCGCGTTGCCCTGCGCACGCCTTGCCCTGCCCTGCGCCGCCCGCGCGCCGCCCCATGCAGCCCGCGCGTTGCCTGTCTGCAGCGCGCGAGCCGCCTTCCTGGCCGCGTGCTGCCCTTCGCAGCTTGCGCGCCGCCCTTGCAGCCCCGCGCACCACCCTGCTGGCCGCGCGCCGCCCCTTCCTGCCCGCGAGCCACTCCTGCCTACCCGCACACCGACACTGCCTGCCCGGGCAAGCGCCCTACTTGCAGCGCGCCGCCCTACTCTGGTAGCGCGCCAACTTCCCTGACCGTGCGCCGCCCCGCCCTACCCTACGCGTTACCCTAGTTCCTGCTCGTCGCCCTGCCTTCACTGATGCTGCCCTGCTGGTCCCACGCCTCCTTGCTTTGCCCGCAATGACTTCTCTTCGTGGTAGCGGTGGGAGTGGTGGCGGCGGTGGTGGCAGCAGTGGGAGTGGTGGCGGCGGCCATGATGGCAGTTGCGGTGGAGCTGTTCAGTGGGGAGTTTCTGGCAGTGGCCAGAAGCAGCTGCAATGGCGTCCGCGCGAGACCCTTACTCCCCAGTACCTCCGTGAGTGGAACGCTAGTAGGTGTGGTGGCGGCGGCCATAGTGGCAGTCGTAGTGGAGCTGTTTAGTGGGGAGTTTCTGGCGGTGGCCAGATGCAGCAGCGGCAGCGTCCGCGTGAGACCCTTACGCACCAGCAGCTTCGTGAGTGGTACGCTCAGCGTGCTCAGCGTGGGGCGTCTCGGAGTAATGCTCGCTGCCCGTACGTCATTCGTACAGGTGATCGTGCTGGTCAGACTTGCGATACAGTTGGTCACACACAGTTCCACTGCTTCTCCTGTCTGAGCGACGCCTGGCACGTAGAGTTTGGCGACGCGGCTGAGCTCCCTCTCTGGCTAGAGCTGCTTCGGAACAATGTGGATATCTTTGCTCTAGACTATGACGCTATCCTTACTGCCATGTATGCTTTGACTGTTGGTACTGAGGGTGACTGTTACCTGTTTGTGCCACCCGACCCAGGTATAAAGGCTGCTGCTCTAGGTGCTAGTGAGTCTGCTCTCTCTGGTACTGCGCCTGCTGAGGCCTTGCACACCTTCACGCTTGACTCAGGTGCTTCCCGCTGCTTCTTTCGTGACAGTACCACCGTCACACCACTCCGTGCACCAGTTGTAGTCTCTCTGGCTGACCCCTCCGGGGGCTCAGTTCTTGCACGTTCCTCCACTGTTCTCCTGTGTCCGGCGGTTCCGTCTGGCTCACTGACAGGTCTTCACCTCCCCTCGTTCTCTACGAACTTGGTGAGTAACGCTGTCCTTCAAGATGCTTGGGTTGATACCTTTACCCCTGGATGACAGCGTGTGGCGATCTGCACGTGTGCACAGACGGGCCGTCACCTGGCCACGTTCACCCGTCGGCCTGGGTCGAGCCTATACAAGCTAACTACCGAGCCTCCCCAGGTAGCTGCGTCTGGTCAGGTGTCTGCGTTAGGTCAGCTGTCAGCCCCTTGTTCGTGTCGCCTCCTCTCGCACCAGACTCTCCTCTGGCACCACCGCCTTGGTCACCCCTCCCTGCCACGCCTTCGTGACATGCACTCCCGCCTCCTTGTCTCTGGCCTTCCGAGGTCTCTGTCCCCCCTCCCGCGCTCACCTGCCCCGCCCTGCCTTCCTTGCGTCGAGGGGCGGCAGCGCGCCGCTCCTCACTCCTCCTCGTTTCCCCCGACAGAGGCTCCCCTGTAGACTCTCCACATGGACGTATGGGACCCAGCCCGCGTCTAGGGAGAGGGCCGCGAGCGATACTTTCTACTGGTTGTTGACGACTACACGCGATACACCACGGTCTTCCCCTTGCGTAGCAAGGGGGAGGTCCTTGATGTTTTGATCCCTTGGATCCGCGCTGTCCGTCTCCAGCTCCGCAAGCGGTTCCACACGGAGTTTCCTGTCCTGCGTCTGCACTCTGACAGAGGTGGTGAGCTCTACACTGTGTTGGAGGGGGGAGGTTGGCGATGCGTCGGTGTTCCTTGTCTGGGGCTCTCGTGCCTTTGCTCGCAATACCTCCGTGGACAAGCTCTCCTCCCGCGCCATTCCCTGTGTCTTCCTTGGCTTCCCCCCTGACGCGCCTGGCTGGCAGTTTTACCACCCCACCTCGCGCCGTGTTCTGTCCTCTCAGGACGTCACGTTTGACGAGTCGGTTCACTTTTACCGTCTCTTCCCCTACCGCACTGCCCCTCTCCCCCCCCCCCGCCGCTCGACCTCGCTCCAGGTCCCCCTCCGGTAGACCCCCTCCCCCCTCAGGGTCCTGCTCCTTCAGGTGTGTCTCAGGTAGACCCACTCCCCTTGGTTGAGCTTGTGGAGGTCACTGGTGACTCTGGTGCTTCTGGGGGTGCTGATCCTGCGGGTGCTGAGCCTGAGCGTGTGGAGCCTGGGGGTGCTGAGCCTACGGGTGCGGAGGCTGCGCGCGCGGAGCCTGGAGGTGTTGAGCCTACGAGTGCGGAGCTTGGGGGTGCTGAGCCTGAGCGTGCGGAGCCTGGGGGTGCTGAGCCTGAGCGTGCGGAGCCTGGGGGTGCTGAGCCTGCGGGTGCGGAGCCTGAGGTGCTGAGTCAGGGGGTGCTGAGCCTAGGGGTACTGCGTCTACACTACGGTAGCCTCTCTCACCACATTAGCTGCGCGAGTGGTACGTTCGGCGCACCCGCCTTCGGAGTTGCGCTGCTGGTGCTGGAGGCCCTGGGGTTGCTAGTCCTAGAGGTGCTGGAGGTACTGCTGGTACTGGAGGTACTGCGGATGCTGGAGCTACTAGTCCTGTAGGTCCTACCGGTGCCTCGCCACAGCAGTCTAGCCGGCGGGAGCCTCCCTCACCACAGCAGCTGCGCGAGTGGTACGCTCGGCGCACCCGCCTTCGGAGTCGCGCTGCTGAAGCTGGAGGCCCTGCCGCAGGAGGCGCTGGCGCAGGAGGCACTGGAGTTGGAGGCTCTGGAGCTGGAGACGCTGGAGCTGGAGGTACCGGAGGAGCTAGAGCTGCTGGTCTTGGAGGTGCTCGTACTGGAGGTACTGGAGCTGCCAGGACTGGTGGTGCTGCTGCTGGAGCTGGAGGTGCTCACGCAGCTGGTCCCGGAGGTGCTCGTCATGGAGGTACTTGAGCTGCCGGAGCTGGTGGTGCTACCGGTACTAGAGCTGGAGACCCTGGCGCTGGAGGCACTGGAGCTGGAGGCACTGGAGCTAGAGGCGCTGGAGCTGGAGACCTTGGAGCTGGAGGAGCTGGAGCTGGAGGCACTGGAGCTGGAGGCACTGGCGCTGGAGGTGCTGGAGCTGGAGGCACTAGAGCTGGAGGCGCTGGAGCTGGAGGCACTAGCGCTAGAGGTGCTGGAGCTGGAGGCACTGGAGCTGGAGGCGCTGGAGCTGGAGGCACTGGCGCTGGAGGTGCTGGAGCTGGAGGCACTGGAGCTGGAGGCACTGCAGCTGGAGGCACTGGTGCTGGAGGTGCCGGTGCTGGTGGCGCTGGAGCTGGATGTGCTGGTGCTGGAGGGGCTGGAGCTGGTGGTACTGCACAGCGGCGACTGTTCTTTGCTCCGCCGGCACCGTCGTCTCTGCCGCCGCCTGACTCCGTGCTTCGCCAGGTTCTTAGCCAAACTGGCCTCCCGTTACAGCTAGGCTCCCCACTGCTTGCTCCTTCCCCTTACATTGAGCAGTCAGACTCGCTTACAGAGCGTCGTGAGCCTGCGTCTCGTCCAGCCTACCCTGCTCGCACTGTTCGCACTGGCCGACGTGTTCCTCGTCCGTGTCCTCCTCCTGTCCCCGGCACTCACACTATGGCACTTCGTCCTTCCTCTGCAACAGAGTGTCCCCCTGCCGTCTCCTCCTGCGTCCCCTCTTCCGCACGTTCCGGACCCTCCGTCTGACACTGTTCGTGCTGCCAGCCCTACTGTCACACGTCTCCTAGCCACTGTTACCACTGACCCTTCGTTTGAGTCCACTCCTGTGTCTGCCTTAGTCGCTGAGCTTGTTGACTTTGCTGCTTCTTGTCGTCTCGACTACGCCGCTAGTCTTGTTGCTGAGTCTGAGACTGTCTGTCCTCCGTCCGTTGGGGGTGAGTGTGCTCTTGGCACGGACGTCTTTGAGGACAGGCAAGAGGACTTTGACTGTCCTGCAGCTGCTGTACCTTATCTCGTGGTGATGCTGCTTGCACCTGAGGGAGACCCAGATGCACTCGACATCCCGACCCCGCGCTCTTACGCTGAGGCGATTTCGGGTCCCTACTCCTCTCAGTGGCACACAGCCACGGACGCAGAGATGGCATCCTGGAAGTCTACAGGCACTCACGTCGACGCAGTCCCTCCTCCTGGGGTGAACATAGACGATGGCATGTGGATTTTCAGGGTGAAGCGGCCGCCGGGTTATCCGCCTGTCTTCAAGGCTCGTTAC